CTAATATTTATGATATGTAAGCTGCTAGCGACCTGACCTCTGCCCCTGGTGCAGAGAAATGGCATGTATGTTCTGCTGGGATCAGGTTCTCCACCTCGGACGAGGGAAGATAAAGGCTTTGTTTAAAAATAAAGACATCACTCTCGGGTTTGTCAGTGGTACTGTACATTTTCCCCTCTGCCGCTCTGTGTTTACAGGCATACAAAACCAAAAATAAATGTATGAGGAAGAGAGAGGAAGGTCAGAATATCAAGTGTCAAAAGTAGCCCGTGAAATTTTATTGGTGGTGCATTTAATCAGTGTTAAGCGTTTTTTACAAGGTACATACAAACAGTGGAATTGTAAAAATTTATGGAATGCTGTGTACAGTGTGGCCATTTATGAAGAAAGGAAAATTTATATCCAGCTGAAATAAACCAAAGGGGAATGTTTTATGAAGACTCCTCAACAGCAGGGTACATCAAGTGAGATTTGGGTAAGGGGAGGAATGGGTATTCGCAGGGGTTGAACTGATCTTTGAGGTGTTTTTCTTCCTCTTCAGCAGCTAATAGTTTGCATCTTTCTGTGGCTTTCAAATAGGCTGGATGTAGTGATGTATTTTTTTTCTGTACAATGGAAAGGAAACACAAGTGAACAGCTGCTACTGGTATCTCTGGCACAAGGCTCTTGCTCTTGGGCCCGTTCCAGTCTAACAGTTTCTTGAGCAGCCCTTAATATCCAGCTGGGAAGGGTTAACTGAAGCCAATCACATTGACATCAGCATTTTTTTGTTTCCTTTTTGGTCCAGTATTTTGTTGATGATAAAGCACAGACTTAGTCAGTTGAGAGATTCCAGAGCTGCAGAATCAGAGATAATTTAATTAACGGAATTGCTTGTGATTGCCCACTGGGACAGCGGGTAGGAATTGCTCGATTTAATTTGGAGAAACAAAGATCACATGCATGCTAATGTTTGACAAATAACCAGCGTTTGGGTTAAAGTTTTTTTGCAAGGGGTGGGGGTGGGGGGGCAGCCGATTCCCAGGGGAGATTTCCCAGGAGGTGATTGCTGAGTAACAGCTCAAAGCTACAGATAGGTCCTTTTTCCTTTTACATGGTATTTTTATGTCCTTCTGCTGGCCTTTTACCTGAACAAAGCAAGGATTTGCTCAAAGGAAGAAAGTTGGTTCTTATTTTTAGTGCTGAGGGGAAAATGCTATGAACAGTAGAAAAACATGCATTGGGCACAAAGACTGAAAACTATCACATGCTGTCTGCCAGGTCTCACAGACTTGCTCCCTGGTACCCAGCATCCTCAAATGTGACTGCCAAGTTGTTGAAGAGTTATCCACAAAGTCCAGCTTCCTCCGCGAGGAGCCTTCCCTTCATGTTCTTGTTCTTGTATAAACGTTCTTGCTCAGGCTCCCCTGTTTGTGGTGATGTAGGTCCACAGTGAGTAGAGCGTGGATGTGCCCTCTTGATACGTTCTCAGCCAGGGAGGCCAATGCAGGTATCAACGAGGCTGCTCACACCTGTGTGGTTGGAGAAGCACCAGCGCTGGGGCTCGAGGCATTGCTCTTGGCAGTAGTTGTGCTCAGCAGATCTCTCTGGAAGCTGATAAATGACGTGATATCCAAACACGTAAAATCAGAGCGCTGAGGCATAAAGTTGTTAAGAGTCCTCCCACGTCCAGCATGAGGTCAAGGCAAAGCAGGGAGAGCAGGGCTGTGGAAGCCAATTCCTCCTTCCCTGTAATTCCCTCTGCCTCCCTTGGCAGCGTAACTTGTACATAGCCTTACCCCATCCGTGGAGCTTGGCTTTCTGACCTTCGCTCCACCCCGGCGTTACCATGTAAAAATACTGCACACGCTGCTCCCAGCTGTGTCTGGGCAAGTGCACACGAGGTGTGCATGCAAGAGGGAAGCCTGAGGGAGTTCCCAAGATTGCTGCTGCAGGAAGAGTTGCTCCTAAGCGATGCTTATCTTTAGGATACAAGCAGCAGGTTGACGGTAAAATGTCACTAAATGGAATGGCATGTGTCCCAAGTGTGCTGGCCACCACGGGAGCCAGACACATGGGAAGTGACTCTTGTCTTTATTCCATCCCTGGAGGTAGTTCCAGTTTCCTTTATTTACTAATGTTCTCCCTATTTCCCTTGACCTCATTTCCTCTGGCTTTTCGGAAGCAACCATGCAATTATCGCTCACTTTGGGTTGACCCTTGGCCGCCACGTCCCTGGTTGCTGCTGCTCCAGGAGGCTTTCCTGAAATCTCAAGTGCAAAAAACTCACTTGTGGCCAAAATCTCTCTCTTGTGAGATAGGAGCTGCGTCTTCAACACTATGCTGTGCGTCAGGATTTGTCCTGAGAGCACGCTTGGCAGGGAGAACATGGAGTTTAAAGTCTGTCACAGCTGAGCTTTGATCAGCGCTGGGAGATATTGCAGTGGCTAAAGCTCCCTCTCTTACCAATGCACCCCAGTCTTGTTAATAAATGTATATTTAACAATGTCTGGAGCGTATGAAGTGATAATAACTAAATCAATACCTCCCACATTGATTGTCCAGGATCCCTACAGCGTGACGCACGCAGCGGTGCGGTAATTTTCCAGCTAACTAGCACCCTGATCTACAGCCCTCCTATTGATTGGCCATTGTATCAGGCAGCCTCTGAGCATTATTGCTTATACCTCTATTCAGCCTCCTTTTCTGATTCATTCGTTTATTACTGGACAGGTGCGATTATCTCAGAGACTTTCCGAAATTGGCCGATGGGGGTCAGCCATTTAGACTTCTATAAACAAGCCATTTTCTATCTCCTCTAGTTGTTGCAGAGGCAAATTTTTCCTTTTCAAGCTTTGACTGTTATTGGGCTGGGACTGGGGATGAATTGGCCTTTGCTTGGATCTGCTCAAGGATTCCACTTTTCCCTTTCCTTGCTGAGTCGCCTGCCCTTCAGAGGAGGACGGATAGCTCCAGGGATAGTAATAGGAGAATTTAGCAAGGGTTGAGGTTCTGCTTGCCACTCACTTTGGGCAGGAGCCACACTCACTGCCTTTGAAAACTCCAGTGCCCTTATGCATGCAGGAAGGAGAAATGGATTCCAGAAAGTCAAATTCAACTGCAGTCTTCATCCAGCATCAGCTTGTTGGTGGGCCAGGCTGGAAGGGAAACAATTTTGTCATCCGACAATAATCTTCAAGCTATAAATAAATAATTCTGTTTCTTCCTTGGGCAAAACTGACACCTTTCTAGACTTTCTTTGAAAACACTAACAATTCTTCCTTGAGGGTGAGAACCCAAACTGGGAGATGATAATAATTTATACCAGTGAATAGGAGCAAGTGGGTGTTTCACAGCGGGGAGCGCTGAGTCCTACTGAAGCTCTTTAATTTTGCTCCAAAGAATATTTATTGATACCAAGACTTGAATCCACGGTGTCTCTGTCCCCAGGCAGTCCTCACCCACTAGGCTATCACGGGATGTGTATTTCTTTGCCTTTTTGGCAGTTTTAAAATTGTTACCATTTCCTAGCAACTGTCATCTGCAATGAATCTCCTTCTGATGAAGGTCTCTCCTCGGTTAGCTCGTGCAGAGTGTCTGATCTGTACAAAGGTAGGAGTGAAGCTGGAGGAGCTTTATAACACTGGTACTTAACCATATGCACTCCTGCAGCTTCAGGTTTTTTCTGAAGTGTCATAATTAGAAAAATCACTCAAGATTTTTTCGACTAGCTCTGTTTCCAGAGCCTTGGGAAAAGCCAGCAGAATCACCTCGTGGGAGATACTTCAGATCCCTCCCTGCGTGCCGGCGGCAAGTGACTAATGAACAAAGGAGCGAGTGTGTGCGTGCAGCGGGATTGCTGAGATTGCAGCTCACTTTATTGGTTGTAGTAATTCCACTAGACCCATGTTTTAGCCACCTGTTGATGAATCATCCTCTAAAAAGGTAGAACACATAGGTGCCACTGTGGGTTATGTTGTGATTGATGCAGCTTTTGGTGGCGAGGTACTCTTCGGGTTCTTCTGAGCTGGAGTCTGCTTGGACAGGCCTGAAATTCACTGACGTACATGAAAATTGCTAGTTTGTTTTGTTTTTTCGCAAGAGTGAAAGTCTTAATGTCAATGCAATACTCTAAACCTTTTCTGGGGAATGCTTGAGGGCCCCTCCCTATATCTGCACTGTGTAGAAATTGGATTTTGCAGCATGCTGGAGTGACACATCCTTGTCTATAATGTTCCCTGCATCTCATTTGCTAAGCATTGCTGTCTGCCCTTGCTTTTAGGTTGGCAAGTTGCTCTTTTCACCAGCCTCGCAGAACCATGAAAATACACTTGCCTGCCCTCAGCACAGCACCTCTGTGACAAAAAAGATAATGCTGCCCATCAAAAATGACCCTAGGAAATGGGAAAGCAGAGACTGTAAAGCTGCTTTTATAGCCACCTTGTTGGCACAGTGTCCATTGCTTTTGGTTTCTCCTTTTTTTCAGTATTAGAACCCAAAAAGCTAGGAGTTTCTTTAATACAAAAGCATTGTGTTGATCCTGTGTAATGAGCTGATTTTGTGTTTCAAGGTTGACGGCCAGCAAAACCTCCATTCTCTAAGAAGAGCAGCTCCTATTGCCCACAGAAAGTTACCTCACCAGCTTTAGAGCAACATGCAGAACTTTGTCCATAGCATTTGGTCCTGAGGAGTCTCTTAAGGGAGACAAGAAAAGAGGCAGAAAACAAAAAACAAACAAAAAATCTGTTCTTTAAATGTCTGTGTCTTGTGGAAACTTGCTCTGTATGAAGTTGGCAACCCCAGCCCCGTTGTGTTCTGTCCTGATGTGTTCGGAAGTGTTTAGTAGGACACCTCAAAGAATTCACACTGGGCTTTTCAGGAATTCTTCTTCACCCCAAGTTAGATGTATTAGTTCAAATGTCGCCATTTCCTCTGTGGTACCTGTTGTGGGATCGTTTTTCCACAAAACTTTTAACAATCTTGTGTGCTCGGTGATGCTCACTCTCCATCATCTTTTGCAGAATTACAGAAGACTCTGCAGTGACAACATTTGAAGCGTTAAAGGCTCGTGTCCGTGAGTTAGAAAGGCAGCTTTCCCGTGGGGACCGCTATAAATGTCTCATTTGCATGGTGAGTAGCACTCCACTTGTGGTAATGAATCAGAAATGTCTTGGTATCTTTGCCGAGGAGGGGAGAAGTTTCTGTCCTTTTTCGGGTGGAGTGGGGGAACTCATCTTTGTCCCTATACACCAATTAGCCTTCCAAATGAAGGTGCTACTAGGTCTTTTTAGCAATTGAAATTTCTCTATGCATTACATTGTTCCACTGGTATTTGTAGCTGTCCATCTGTATCCGGGGCAAGAAAGCCCCAACTTCAGAATACTTTCAGCCTTCCTGTAGAAAACTCCCCGATACCAGCATCTTCTTTCTGCTTGTGCAGATTTACATACATAGGAGAGAGCAGAATCTGTGGTCTGAGACCCACTGGATCGTTTGGGAACAGGAATGTTGCCTGAGCATTTAAAAGTTGTCGATGTCCTGCTTGCTCTGTGGTGATGCTGTGGCCTTCTTAAAGAAGGGCAGCAGCTCCCTCTGATGGTCTGAGCCTGCAAAGCTTTGCATATCCTCTTAGGTTTTTAGTCTGATGATAGCGGGAGAAAATTCTGCTTGGTGAAGGGCTCCCTCTGCAACTCCAGCTTGATTCATGGTGCTCTCTCTCCCAGCTCACGACTTGTAGGTATGGGCGTGCAGTCCCCGTCTCTCATCCCACAGAAGGGATGACAGCTTGCTGCTGATTTCCAGAGGTTCATTAGCAATGATAGAAAATACTCAAGAGAAGGCACATCTGCTGAAATAGCAGCAGCATTCTTGGGATGTAGTTAAGCTGTTCCTGCAGAGCTAAGAGTTGTGATAAGGGTTAATCTTACCCTGTCACTGGTTTTTGTATGATCTGGTGACCTTTCTGATGGGAATAATGGAAGGTGGCTACAGCAACTTCAGATGCTCTTGCGATAACTGCTGAGCCAGGTCACCACTTGAGTGGATTATGGGCTTCCAACAGGAGTTCTGGGAAGCCAGAAAAATGGACTGCGGGAGACTTTCTGCCTCTACTACGCAAACATTACAAAAATACAAACTTACATATTACACGAGCTTTTTTTTTTTTTTTTTTTTTTAATACAACATACAAGGCGATGTTACCCACAAAGAAAGGTGGTGTGATGGGTTTGGGAGTGAAGAATCAGTAGATCCCTACTGTGGAAATAACCTGTTTGCTTCTTCTCCTCAGGACTCCTACACAATGCCCCTGACTTCGATTCAGTGCTGGCATGTGCACTGTGAAGAATGCTGGCTGCGGACTCTGGTGAGGCTCTTGGTTACTTTCTTGTTGAGTTATAGGCTTTTTCCTCTCTTCTGGGATACTTTATTTAAATCACCATTCAGTGCTTTTTGCTTTATTTCAAACAATGTGAGCGCTGTGCATGCAGACTTCCCAAGCCTTGCTGTTTAACACCCCACTCTAGCTTTGACTTGAGTGACTTTCATTTGAGTCGTCGTGACCAAAGTGCAGTCCTGCCCCTTGCTTGCTCCTCTGCTGCTGTGGGGACAGCCATTGCTCATGTAAGAGCTCTGTGGCGGGGACAACCTTGCCTTACAGTAATTTCCTGTGGGGCATCCATGCAGAGAGGTAAAGCTGTGCGAGTGGAGGCCAAATCCACTGAGATTCGCGGAATGGGTAGCTTCTGAGAAACCTAATATTCCCCTGAAGCAAAGGGAATCATCTTCAGGAGAGATGATATGGAAGGGAGCTTTTATGAATTTGAATCTGTATTTTTCAGATTATTTGAAATAGCACTGTGCAGTTTTCAAGCATATGCCATTCTGTTTGGAAGATTGGGGACTACCTTGAACATTGAATAGGTGACCCAATGCAGTAGTAATTTATATATGTATTAAAGGACATCAGGTTAAAATTCAAGGTGTTATTAAATAAAGTGTTTTCCTTTTCTTTGTTAAAACTGTGGGCTTTATAATCAGCCTTTCATTTCCCCTGTGCAGCTGATTTTCAAGCTTTCATTTTATTCAGGTTGGGGAGTGGAAAATAGTCAGTTGTGCTTTCTAGTTCTCTTGCCAGCAAGATGATACGGTGTTGGGTTGCAAAAAATGTAAGGGAATGCCACTCCTAAAAACTGTTCCTGTAAGGCATTACAAAATCTACTTTATAGAGCACGTTGTGCGCTTGGAATTACGATTAAGCCGATCATGCTCCTTTAAATCCTGCCTTTTAAAAGTCTTGTCCAAGAAAAGTTACCAGGACGGTGAAGTGCCTGTGGGCTTGAAGTACTAATAGCAACTCAATAACTTGGCTATCCCTTGGGCTGTATTTTATAGCGCTTCAGCTACACCCCGTCACTATTTAGATTATACAAGCTTTTGTAAACATTTTAGCAGCATGTTATAAAAGACACATATGTGGGTACGTAGCTGTGAGATGTTTGGATGAATGTGTGCTCTGCCACCTTTGCTAAGTGAAGAGTAATGTTGTCCTCCAGCGGTGTGACAAGCGGAGGATAAAACACTAATTTCTTTTTCATTTTCTTTACTCTGAAGTCTTTGTCCTCCCCTCTTCTCAGAAGCCTCAAGTCATCTTCTAAATCTGTAGCACCGATTTCAGGCTGTTCTTAGGCTCAGCAGCAACTTAGTTCAACTTCAGTCGGGCCCCTTTGTTTCATGTGCAGCGGTCACGGCTGCTCATAAGGACTGGGGAGTCCCACTCCAGGTGCTCAGGGGTTAGCATTTACCCTTGCAGAGGGGGAGCCATCTCCCCTCTAGATATCCGTGAGGAAGGTGAGGATCACGCTGGCTGTGTGCTGTCCGCACATGGCTCTTCTGCTGACCAAGCAGGCGGGATGGGAATAGTCCAGCAAGGCATCGTATTAGGACTTGGCACTTGCATAGGGGAAGCAATTAATAAGTGGCTACTCATGTGTTCCCCAGCCCTAGCCTCTCCCTGCAGCCCCCAATTTATTAAACCAGGCCTTTTCACAAGGCATGCTTGCACTCCCTCTCCCGTCTCAAAAAAATCTCCCAGCCTGTGTTCGCATGTTTCTAATGTAACCATTAAAATGTAGCCCGAAGACAGCAATAAAAACCCTGGAACGCCTTGGTGCTTTTGTGTCTTGATCAAAGTCAATGTGTGTAATCTCGTTAAGACTGCCCTCCTTCCCCCCTCCTTTTTTATGAATTTAATGGCATACAGCAGCTGGGCTCAGTGTTTAATGCTCACCAACCTGCATTGTTCTAATTAAGGTATCTCCTTTTATTTCGGGCACAAAAGAGACTCTTGTTTTTTTTAACAAGCGAGGAGCTGTGGGATAGTGTGTGTAATAATCGCTGCTGTTACCTTTCCCTGGGTATAAAGCTGGCTCCCCAGCAGGGGCAGGAGGAGGGAGCCTACGCGTGCAGCACACATGGAAAGACTTGGCTGGGGGAGAGGGGCAACATTTTTCTTCTGTTGTGCAATAAACAATTTGTTGGAGTTAATAGGAGTTGGGGCGGGCAGGTTGTGTCGGGCTTCCGGCCCCTTTTGAACATTCTGGAGATCTGCCATCCCTGCTGGTGAAAAGTCCCCTTTCTCCTGTGCGCCTGTGGTTTATATGCCCAGCCAAGATCTAATATTAAATTAGAGTGTGAGCGTGTTTGTGAGAGAGAGAGGGAGGACCATGTATTGAACAAGGCCTTGGAACTGAAGGCTCAGAGTGCCTGGGAGCACTTCTAAACCTCTGCCGGGTATTGAAGACGGGGTGAAATTTGGTGCTTACATCTGTCTATGGACCAGAGGAGGTGAAGTGGTTTTTAAAAGGTTTAAGGTTTAAACATTTTCTAAGATACGACGATACAATGATCTGAGCGTCTCTAGTGTCCTCTGACTTCCATGGTGTCTAGGGCGCTGATGAAGATTGGATCTTTAAAACGCTTAGGCTTTCTGAAAATACAATTTTTGGACTTTTGGCTCTTGATGTCCAATTCCAAATTATAACTGTTCTGTAACTAAGGGAGAGGGGGAGACGTTTTTAACCACCAACTCTACAAATGGCTGCTGGGCTCTCTAGCTTAGGTACCGTTATACTAGAGCTCAATGCATCAAACCGGCTCCAAGTTCTGGGGATGAAACATCCACCAGAGCAGACTCCACCTCTGTCTCCTGTTGCTGTGTTGGATTAACATGAAGGAAAGGCTGGGGTCACAGAAAGGGACCCTGAAGATGGCTTAAGAGAACCAAGATCGTGGTGCTTGCTGAGTTAGCCAGCGCCTCAGTGCCAATAGAAGCTGCTTGGTTAGACGGTCCTCCTCAGGGTGGCCATGGAGAAAGGGAGGAACCATCCCTTCACTCAGCGTCAGGACATGATGAGTGAATGATTTTCTGTCCTTCCACTTGCTCTGTGAGCAGAACCAGTCTGCGTTAGGGCTGTGGCAGACCACAGGCTAAAGTGGTGCTGTATGCTGCGTACGCTGTGGGCAGCTCTGTGGTTGTAGGCACAACAGGAATGGAGACAGGGAGAGGGGTACAAGAACGTGTTGCTTGATGCCACGTGATTGTGCCTGGTTTCCCAGGAAATCGTATTAGCTGTTTTGTCAGCTGGGGTTGTCTGCTGGTTTTGCATTGCTGTGTCAAACCACACCAATGAGCTTGCTACTCCCTGCTTGCTGGTTGTCTGGGGCACTCAACACAGTGACATTTTTCATTCAGCCATCCTGCATACAGGGAGCTAGTTGATATCTTCAAGTTATGCAGAAACTGGGACGCTAGCCTGGAGTGACTTCCCTGTGATCCCTTTTGGAAACCCCTGAAAACAGGTGCAGGTTCTTCAAAGACAGGAGGGGAAACGGTGTTGCAGGAGGGAGGCTTAGCCTGGGCAGCAGGAGGTGGGGTTCATTTCCCTGAAAGTCAGCCGTCCTCGCGGCAGGTGTCCATCCTCAACTGGTTGTTGGACTGCAGCCCTGAGTCACTGGGAGATGGGGGATGAATATCCCTCTGGAAGGGGTTTGTCTGCCCCTTCTCTATCTTTCCCCATTAACCAAGATGGACCCTACAGCTACTAGTGGATGAGATTCGTATTTTCCTTCTCCTGGGAAGTGTGCTCTGACAATAAAGGTTGGCACTCTGCTGCAGTGCTTTGCTGGGGAGGTTTGGAACCTCCATCCTTGGAGGTTTGTGAGAACAGGTTTGATGCATGTCCATCAGCAGTAATTCAGGTTGAGGAGATCTTGCTGGGGGAATGGGTCGGGGAGTTCGTGATGTCCCTCTGAGCTGTGGTTCTGTGATCTCCCGAACCCTGGTATCCTTCCTTACGAAGTAAATGGAGTTAAAAGCTAAGTCAGGCTGTTGTTTGCCGGTGGTGGAGCTGTTGGTGGGTGCAGGCGTGCAGGGGCTGAAAGAGGGCAGGTTTATTTGAGCAGGTGCGGTTTGCTGAGTTTCCCCCATCGCCTGCACAGCCAGATCCAGCATTTCCTATGTGTGTTTGCTGACCCCAGGCTTGTACTTGCCTGTCTTGGGCTTATTTCAAAATGACAACTGCAAGAGCAGGAAAAAATTACTTCTAAAAAGCCTTCTTCATCACAGAATATGCTTCCAGGGGATCCATCGATAGATATGTATGCTCTGCAGTTGACACATTTATATCTTTGGTAGGTTACACTACTACGTTCTTAGCCTTGTCACTTTTTCTAGGCTATAATACGGTATATCCCATGCGGGCTGGAGTATTTTTGTAAGAAACAGCGCAGATACAGAGCAATCCTTCTGGGTGATTTCCCTAGTGCTTCCAGCAACACAGGGACCTCCTGAGTCAGCAGCTGCATGGAGGATGCTGCGCTTGATCCTTCATGATGTTCCTATCTGCCATGAGGTTGCCCGGTTATTTATTAACATATTTCAGTTTTGGCCTCCAACAGCCTGTGGGGGTGAGCTCCACCCTTTGAGGAGGCTCTGTGAAAAAGGTTGCTCTCCTGATTGCTTTAACCACAATACCTGACATCGGCGGTGGTGAACGGCTGCTTCTCTGGGAATTAGCATTTGCAGAGGAGAAGCTGCCACTTCATGTGCAGGCGTGGGGAGAGGGGGCTGTCGCCTTGGTTGAGAATTGGATCTTGGAGTTCAATTCCTCTTCTGGCAGAAGCTGGCTCTTGCTTTGGGTCCCTTCTGTTAATCTCTCTGCCTTGGTTTTCCTTCCTATAAAATAGGCGAGCTTTGAGCCCAGGTTTGACAGTGGCAGTGTGTAGGCGAAGTTGCTCTGTGCATGTGTCTCTATTCTCTGTGCCTGGTAGCATATTCTGCTTGGAAATTGCCCATTTTTAGACCCACAGGACAGCAGGAAGTGCCTAAATCCTTCCTTTTGAGTTTTCTTGCTTTAGCCAATTTATAGCAGACGTCATGCCTTTTTTTTTTAAGAGGCAACTTTAAGACAAAATACTCCAATCCTTCCTGGCTCCATGTGAGCCCTAACGACTTCTCAACATCTCAGCTCTCGTTAATGTATTTTTCAAACTACTACCCCAAGTGATTAGCCTGTATTGTGGATCAATCACTTGCCAAATTTTAATTAAGAAAGGAGGAGAAAAAATAAACTCCATCCTGGTTCCAGCCCCTTTTCTTTGCTTTGTAACAGCCCTGGAGCAAACTTCTTGCAGCAGAGTTTTATAAACCCCTCAAAACTGGGGTTTATAATGGAAAAGCTGAGGTGGCCTTTACTCTAGCACACGCAGCTATAACACATCAAGGCTTTTCCATGAAGCTATGATGAAAGGAGCAGGAGGACCTGGAAAAAAAAGAAAGAAAGAAATGGCCGACAGGTGGGACTTATTATTTCACAGCATTTTTATTTCAAGGGAAAAGTTTAGTAACCCCAGCTGGCAGGTGAGCAGTGGGGGAGCAAATGCTTTTTCATTGTGCCTGTGCCAGCGTGTGTGTGTGTACAAGCTTATGTGCCTCTCTACAAGAGAGGAGAGCTTAAATGCTAGTGCCAATAAATGTTGTACACCTACACCGAAAAGTCAGATGTAAGGAACAAGGTTCTGAGCAATTTCAATCTAGAAAGAAAAAATCAGGACTTAGTTCTGAATTTAACACACATGCTTATGTGTGCAGAGGATGACAGTTTTATTTTAAAAAGAAATAAGAAAAAGGCTTCCCCAAGGGTCCAAAGTCATTATTTTTGCTTGAACTGTTTAATACCGAGCATAAGTACTAGGGAGACCCAGAGACCTGGGCCCGGCGTGCCATGTGCAGTCAGCCTGCGCAGCATTCAGGCCAGACTGCTGAAGCTCTCTAGGATGCCGTTGTTCCCTCCAATGTACCCGGGCTTCAGAGCTCAAGATGAGCTGCCCGTCCCACGTGCAGGTGAAACAACATCCACCACTGCCCTAAATCAATCTACGATCGTGTAGCTTTTGCAGAAAATGGGTCAAGCTACATGTGGTTGGGTTCTGCCTTCTGGCGTGGTCAAAAACTTGGCCCTGGCTGCCCACGTGCAGCTCTCAGCCTTAGGTGGGGAGAGTGGATCCCCCTAAAGCCATCAGCATGTGGTGCAGAAAGCAGATCTCCGGGACAGAGATCCTGGGGTCTGGCAGGATAAATCCACCCACCTTCCCTTTCCCTGTAGTGTGAAGGAATTGCATACCTGACCTTGCTTTGCCACGGAAGAGAGGAGCAAAGCTGCCGTCGGTTTGATCAGGCTTGTTCTGCCATCCTGTGGGCTGAGTGCAGAGGACTTGTGCTTACAGCAAGCACCTGCTCAGCCTTTGGAAAGACCTGGGCAGGGTGGATTTTCAGGAATCTGTCCTTCCGAAATTACCCACATTGAGCTGTCTAGCCTGTGTTAGCAAGGTTGCCCTCGCTATGGGTCACACACATCTGCCTGCAGCTGTCTCAGTCCACCTCCAAATCCCAGAACGGAGCATGAGATGCGAGACAGCGAGATGGCAGCAGCTGAGATTTGCTTTTAGCAAAAATGAACTCAAGGGGGTTCAGTGCTCCTCCCTACCACCTACAGCCAAACATCTCCAACTTCAGCAGAGCTAAAGGAAAATAACTGCTAAAGTGCTCTTCGGCTTTGCACAGGAGCACTGAGGAATAGGGGGGCATGGTTTTAAGTGGCAGCAACCACTTTCCATCATCCTTTGCCCCAGACTGAAGGCAGGCTGAGGCATTTGATGGATCAGGGAACTGGTCCTGAAGAAGGTGACCTCTCCCTGGCGTGTTGTCCAGAGAGGCAGAAGCTCCAGCTACTTGGTTGGATGCTTTGCTCTTGCCAATAAGCTCTGCCTGTCTTGGGAAGGAGAGGATGGACACAGATGTGTGCAGCAATCACATCTGGAATGCCTTACAGTCCCCGTGCACACTTACTTCCACTTGTTGGGGCACACAGGAAAGCTCGAACAGGCAGCTGCCAACTGCTGCCCCTTTGACAACACGCTGTGAATTAATTCCTCGGCACCTCCCTGCCACTTCCCCTGGGACCCTGCAGCTACAAAGACGATGCCAAGAGGCCAACCAGATGCAACAGGAGCCTCTGAGGACCGAGGAGCTGCATGGCGATGCAGGCCTGAGCGGGGACTCCACTGAAACAGGCTGTTTTGTGGCATTTGCATCCAGATTAGTGAGCCCCTCCTTGGCAGTGCTGCTGTGTAGCCCGGCCCACAACAGCTTTAAAGGTGGCAGAAGGGGCAGATGTTTAGATTTTTCTCTCCTACCTGTTGTAGCTGCTGCAGGAAGTTTTGACTGGGACACGCAGGGTTAGAGCTTGCCCTTTTCTGATGCTGGAGACCCAGAGCTCTGGTCTTGAGCACAAGCGAAGAGGCGTGTTATATAAACAGGCTCTGTTAAAGTCCAGTGCAGTCAGTCTTTGATTTCGTCAGGGTTTTAAGCCTTTCCTTCCAGTTGTGGTTTGTGCTTGCGCTTCCCAGAATCCAGCATGCCAAGTCCACTCCGTGAAGACCGGTGCATGGGGCTGCCTGATGCATTGCACAGGCAGAGTGAGATGGTCCCTGCCCCAAAAAGCTGAAAATCTAAACAGGTACAGTAGTTAGAGTGGGATAAGATAGGTCCTGGGCTGCTAGAAGGATGTGCCCACAGGCATCAGCACCAGAACCAGATGCACCATGCAGACCACCAGTGGTCTGTCCCACTGCCAGTCTGTCACTCACCCTGAAAGTGATGTCCAAAGTGTCTTGGGTGTCCATTATGTGCTTCATTCATCTCTAGTTGGACTGGACTTTGTGTGTGGCTGTTTTAGATCTCAGATGCAGGTGCCCATGGTTCCTACGTGCATCGGGGCAGCGGCTCAGCCGCTAGCAGCAAGGGGTATGAAATGGGAACCTAATTACTCAGAAGTCCGAAGCTCAGAGAACAGCAAACGTGCAAAGTCCATGTCTGCCAGGAATAATGTGCACTGGGAGCAGGGAGGGGGCTGGTTCAAGGCTGGTCTGTGGGGACGTTTCGGTAGTACTCAAGACCACAGAGCAAACATGACTTGCACCTCTTTGGAGTGACATCCCTGTGAATTACTTGCAGCTGTGTAAATTTTCTGTACCTGGGACTCTCTCCTCCAGATTCCTCTTAGTCCGGGGAGCTTCCAGGGGAGAAAGCCCCTGTCCCTCTCTCTGCAGGTGTTGTCCCAGAGCAGAAAGGACCTTTTCTAAGGACGCTTGCCTTTTGTAAGCAGCAGTGCCAGCTCCTCTGCTAGGGATGTCCCCAAAAGCAGGTAGCAGTACCAAAGCAGTGTGGCAGGTCACGGTCCTGCCCTGCTACTCAGTCCACCTCTTGCAAGCTGCCGCGCTCACTGCTGCAGGTACTGAAACAAGCCCTGCTAAGGGAGAGCAGCAGCATCGCTGAACCGAACGGCTTCAGTTCTGCCAGCAAGCCCTGTGTAAGCCGGCAGGCTCTCATGGCATGTTGCATCCCTGTCAGCTCGCTTGTCATGGCGAGCGCTGGGCGTTAGCTGCTGGAAGGGCCTGTCTGACAGCAGTGAGCAAAACTCGGGGTGCTCGGACAGAGCCTGTGCTCAGTTCTGTGCAGCGAGAGGTTGTGTTGAGGCTGCGGTCGGTGTTGAAAGCCAGGGCATCCCAATTTCCTGCACTGCTGCTGCTGTAGATGGGAGGCTGCCTCGCAGCAGAGCCATCTTTTTGTCATTTTTCCCATCAACTGTCTGTCACATCTGCCAATCTAATGATGACCGGCTTAGGTTGACCCCGATTCTGAGGCTTATTAACACCCTCTTGCTGTCAGGCTCGGTGACAGATGGCACATCAGCCCTTGTTTTATTTCATGTAGTGTTCGTGTCGGCCGCCCATTACCTCTCCCCAGTTCACAGTTTACCGGTTTCAGGTCACCTTGGCAGAACAGACTCATCACCGCAGCATCTCTGCAAGCTGGGGGAGGACAGGACGGGGGTTTCCTTCACGCCAGCAGCTCTGGGGCTTTCGCAGGATGGCCGAGGCAGTCCCCCAGCATGCTGCCCTGAAAGGGATGCTCCAACCCCACCATGAACCAGCTGAAAATTGCGCTTGTTCTGGCTGGGTTGGTCCTCTGCCTGCTCGGTGACCTGAACTGGCTCATCAGGGGCTGCAGGTGAGCAAGGGAAGCAGGAGGGAGCAGATCTGCCTGGCAGCTAGTGACAACAGTGCAGTGGGACGGGGGGCTCAGGCCAATCTGTCTGCAGACACTCCTCTCCCCGGAGCTGCTGAGTTTGGTGACGTGTCCTGGCTCTGGGTTTCAGGCTCCTACAGAGCTCCTGCCTGCCCAGCCACCTCATGCCAGGGACTGGAGTGGGCGAGGATCTTGCAGGGCAGGCAAGGAAGGCGTTGGGGCTCCCCCTTCTCACAGCTTGTGCCCGCTGTTGGGAGGGCACAGCCCTGTCTGGAGGGGAAGGGGGGTGGCCTTGCTCCCCCTGCTCCTGTGCTGGCCCTGCGATCCCAGGCCGAGAGCAGTCATGCAGGTTGTCCTCCTTCACCCTCTCACACTGTTCATCTCGTCTGCCGGTTGCAGGGTGCCAAGAAGCTCTGTCCCCAGTGTAACACCATCACGTCTCCTGGAGACCTTCGGCGCATCTACTTATGAAGGACCCAGCGGGAGAGCGGGACCCAGCTGCTCGGCTCAGCTCATCACACCAAGGGGGAGAAGAACGACAGCAACAAAAAAAAGACGTTTTAAAATTTAAAAAAAAAAAAAAAAAAGAGACTCCAGTGCCAAGAAGCTCTGTCCCCAGTGTAACACCATCACGTCTCCTGGAGACCTTCGGCGCATCTACTTATGAAGGACCCAGCGGGAGAGCGGGACCCAGCTGCTCGGCTCAGCTCATCACACCAAGGGGGAGAAGAACGACAGCAACAAAAAAAAGACGTTTTAAAATTTAAAAAAAAAAAAAAAACAGAGACTCCAGACATGGACTCGAGGATACAGGAGCAGTGGGGAGCATCGGCTCCCAGGTCCCGCGTGTTGAGACCTCCTTCAGCATCTGCAGCGGGCAAAACCAAACCCTTTGTTGTGAAGCCCCCTTTTTTAAAACCAGTATTCCCCATCCACCCGTTCCCTGGCGCTGGCTTTGCATCGCGGATGGCTCGTGAGCCCTCCTTTGGACTGTGTTGTTGACCACTCTGCCCCCAGGAGACTGGGGAAGGGACCCTTGACAGAAAGATGTTAAATAACCTGTAACTTGTGTTCTTTGTTCAGTTTTTTGTTTTGTTTTTATTTGTTTTGGTTTGGTTTTTGGTTTGGTTCTGTTTTGGTTTTTTGTGGTGTTCTAGTGATAAAAAAAGGTTTAAAGAAAAAAAAACACACCCAGGCAGAAATGAAGCACATGTAATATAGATTATATATGTTTACAATGTTGTGTATAAATGGGATAGACTCAAACATTACATACTAATAAGTTTCCCTTTCTTTTTTTTGGGTTGTATTTTTTTTAAAGAAGAAAAAAAAAATGAGCAGAGAACATTAAACCCATATTTTTCTTGGTTCAGCAAAGTTTTGGCATTAAAGTCATTAGTTTAAAAAAAGTATATATATACATATATATAATATAAATGGTTTAATGTTCTGTGGTGTATATTTCCTCATTCAGATATGAAGTTAACAGCTTTTAGTAATGGCTGTAGCATTGCCCATAACTTACAGAACTTATGGGGAGTAGAGGAGGTGGATTTTTGTCATTAGTTGTAGCTAATGGGGCTATTTATAATAGAGTCGTTATCCCCGGAAAGACACGGCTTTTAACTCCTCACCGAGGGACCGGGCAGGGCGGGGGGATCTGCCTCAGCCCCCTTCGCTGGGGAAGGGGCAAACGGTGGGGAGCTGGAGGGAGGCAGCCTGCCAGAGCGCTGCCCTCTCCCCCGGCCGGGAGCCCCTGCTCGAGGGGCCGGCTG